TAATAAACAATTTACATAGGTTACGTAGCAATTCGTGATTGGCTGTCGGATCGTTCAAATTTCGCGATTTTGAAACATTCGCAACTTCAAACGATTGTTTTCGTTCGATGCAAAATGAAGTAAATGTAGACGAAACATAAGTAAATGAACACTGAACGCTTATTATTGTACATAAATTATTTCATTATCAATAATGACATATTTGAACATCTTAAAGTGGCATCAATAGCAACTGTATAGAATATTATTTTTGATGACAGATTTACTTTATAATTTATAAAAATTAACGATTTCATTCACAAAATAGAAATACGAAAAGAATTCGTAGCATACAATACGAAAAATAAAATTTTAAAAAATATCTCAATATTTCTCTAGTATATTATTGTTAAATTCTTTATACTTTAAATTTAACTTAATATTCAATACATACTGAACGTAGAAATCACGCAGAATTTATAGAACATTACTTCGTATTCCTCGTGATTTTTGTAAAAGGGACTGCAAGAGACAGTATACGTTCCTGGAGTCCCCGCTTTCCGGACTCCTCTTACCCTAAAGTAACAGCTGCGCACGATATGCATACATACATCCCTTTGGAATCGCATTCCCAATGGTTCACAAAAGCAAGACCACTGACTGATAATTCCTTCATTGCGTGATTTATTCAGATTTAATGTTATTTTTCTGTTTCATTATCTATCAACGATAGTATCAAACAAATTAAAGTTTGATCAGGCTTTTATATCCTAACCTCAATGAGAATCAATGATTTTATACATTCTTATTATTTTTCCAAAAAACACATTTTAATCCAATATTTACGCATATATAAAAATTTTATATTATTTTTTTTAAATTTGGAATAACATGTTGCTAGAGTGATATGTTACAATATGTTAAAAATTTTAATAGAGAATTTGCAATTGAGGGAAATTTAGATAAAGAAAAAATCTGTTTGGTATTATATATCATTATTTATTTTTATACATCATGTTTTCGTCAACATTTAAAGACCTGATCGGTCGGCTCGAACCTACTATTATCGACTGACTATTGAACCGGATGAAACAGAATACTTAGTGTCATCTTTTGGAGTACTTAAAAAACACTTAGTGCTTGAAAAAAACAGAAGTTTAAAAATGCTTCATATTTTTATTGCATGTATATGTATTAATATAATATAATATATAATATATAATAATATAATATATAAAATATAATATATAAAATATAATTTATTAAATTAAAAAATAAATAACATTAAAAATAACATAAAAGTGTGTACAGTGTAGTATTGTCTGTTCAATGTTTCATTTACATTATCATTTCATAAAATTTTATATCTAACATCGGACATCTTTTTTTAGAATTTATATAATAGTTTGTTTTAGATTATCTGAAATATTGATACGAACGAAACTTTATTATAATCGACAGGTAAAAAGACAAATAAAGTTAATAAAAAATTACGTAATAAAAGATGGCGTGATAAAGATATTTACCGCGGCAGAAATTATTTATATTGAGAATTTTTATTTATTTATTGGAAATTTTAAAAATATGAAAATGGAAATAGACAAAAATAATGAAAAATATTTAAAATGAAGTAATCATCATGATACAAAGAATAAAACAATCTTTATATGAATCTTATTTCTTTAATTATTTCCATAAATAAAAATTTACATAAATAGAAACTTACATAAATATTCACAGTTTTATTTAATTATTTAATTATTTAATTATTTATCTTCAAGTTGAAAATTCAGAAGATTATGAAACTGTAGAAATTTGCAAAACATATACACATATGCACTTCCGATATAGTGATATAACCGGAAAGAAAATAATTTTTTCATTTAAGGCTTTGTTTTTTGAAAAATCAACTTTGAAAATTTATTAAATATATTTAAATTTTTTTAATTTTGGACTAGACAGATATGAAGTAGCAAGTTATTTTGTTTGTAAAAGTAAATGAAACGTATAGAATAAAATTTTTCTCTTTAAAGCCTCGTTTTCAAGAAAATAGAGTTGTTTGAATATATTTAGTTTAGATTTGATTTGTTACAGCGTGATTCACGTAATTTGCACACCTGAAATAACTTTTAAATTACTTGGAATTTAATATTCTTTCGATTTATGATGAAAAAAATATACATGATCCAATTAAAAAAAAATAAAGATGACCATGAAAATTTCGAAGTCCCTCAATACACACAAAAAATTGATACGCCATATTTTGCCTCCCTTAAAACCATACAATTTTTGTATTAAATAATTTTTCATTAGACGCATAATTTAAAAGTTATTTCAGAAATGCAAATTCATTCTATATATGTACTACATAAAATTTCAAATTTATTTTTCTCAAATACAAAACATCTTATAAAAAAGGTAGATTTTCGCAGTTAAATTTACTTTTTTTTTTTTATACAATTTCTTTTGTTGCCAAAATTTATTTCGAGGACGTATAATTGTTTGCTTATGAAAATACTCGACTATTTTTTTATTTTATTTTGCAATTTGCAAATTGTAACAGATAGGAGAAAAATTTGGAAGCAAAGGTATAATTAAATTTATGTATTGTTTATAAAATAAAAAGAGATTATAAATAAAAATATTTATAATTTTTTTCTAAAATTCATTTTCTTACATGAAATTTTAATAATTTAAATGATTATATAACAATAATTATAAAAGTACAATTTGTTTGTTTTGCTGAACTGAGTTCCTTGTTTATCAAAGAATCTCTTCTTCTATTCTATTATTGTATCATACATATATCATACATATATATAAGCTGCATTTTTCTAATATTTTTCTAATATTTATTAAAAAATAGTACAAAATACATAATAAAATATAGGAATAATTTATGATATTCTTTTGTCTTCCATTACAATATTAAATATAAAATAAATATAAAATTAAGGAAAAACTAAATAATTAACAAGGTTAAAAATGTCTCATTTTATTATTGTATTTGTGAACTGATCACTATCCATGTACATTATAAAACAGTACACGTTCTAATTCACATGTTGAAATATTTATAATATCAAAAGAAATTACAATCATTTAATGATTTCCGTGTATGGAAAAATTTTGTAGGAAAATTTTTCAATCTTGTAGTATTATTTAATCACGATGTTAATTTATGGAGTAAAATACGATAATTTATTGAATAATTACAGTCTTTTATTCATAATAAATTTTCGTTACTAAAGTACAATAGAAACTGTAAAATAATTGTTTTTTGATATTGATTTTCATATATGTATCTCAAAAAAGAACAGAAATATTGATAATAACAATTAATATGTAATATATTAATATGTAATGAAATTAAATATGTGTTATTTAAAGTTATTTAAAGTTAATTAAAAATTAAAAATTTTTTTAACTGCTAAATCACATAACTTTCTTAGCAACTATAATTCGATGAAATTAATCTTTTAATATCTTAATTAATCTTTTTGTGCCTTATACTATCTTCCGAAGCTTCAAATGCTTCAAAATGTTGTGATACGTTCATTGTCATTACATTCATGTTGCATTTCATTATTCAAAGTATGCGTAACATTGGCATCGTGGTCAATTAAAAAAGTTTCATCATTTTATTACATCGGCGTTATCATGATTACAGCATCCTGATATTGAATGTAATGCAGAACAAATTTCTTGTGCATCTTGTTAGCTGCGACTTTTCCTTGCAATTCCTTCAATATTATTATACTTTCTCCACGCTCTTTGTGATGTTACATGTTTTACGTTTATCCAGACATAAGCCGCAATATAACTGCAATCCTTTAAATTTAATTGTTTGTAAAGTTATATCATCTCTTCAACAGTATCATTGATCGTTTGGTCAAGTCTAGTCGTTTATTCGATTATTTCTTGGTTACATTAATGATGTGATATTAGCTGAGAGAAACATAATTGTAATAATAATAATATACATACAAAATTTGTCTGAATAATAAAATATTCGGACAATAGAGAATTCTAATGGTGGATAATTCTATTGTACTACAATGCAAAAAAATAACAAATGGATATATTGATGAAGAACCAAATAAATTTAAAAATCTAATAGATTTTGTTTTCTTACAGTAGAATTTTTCACGGTAAAAAAATTTTGTTGATACATTCTACCATATAATGTAAATAATGATGTACATAATATAATAAACTACGCTTTAAACATTTTATTGGAAAGTTTCATTTTTATGAAGAATAATTCATGATATTTATATTATATAACTGTTTCTAAAGTTATCTAACTATATCTATTTGAATTGCTTATTAAGCATCTGCATTATATCACTTGTATAATAAAAAAATATGAGAAAAATTCAATATTTATATTAAAAAGAAAAAATTGTAATAACGATAAGATATATTTTCTTTCTCTTTATTCCCAGCTGATCTACCTACTATAGTAAAGCAAAAGGATATATTATTATCTATTTTACTGTTTCATTGGATATCATTTCTTAATAAATATTAAAAGAACATCATTCATCAGATAATTTATGTATGATACAATAAAATCCAAAAGTTTCTCAATTGTCAAAGAACACATTTCAGCAGTACAATAAAAGAGATTATGCTGTTTCATAATTATTAAATCAACAATTAAATTTCACGTAAAAGAAATGAATTTTAAAAAAATTTTAACATTTTCATTTATACTTATTTATACTTATTTATACCTTATTTATAATTTCCTTATATTATTGTATACTATAAGTTATTATATACCTATATATATATATAATATTTATTATGTATTATAGTTAATATTATACTTATTTATTATGTATTGTATTCTTATATTATTTTTAATATAACTTTTTCTAATTTTACAATAATATAACTTTTTCTAATTTTACAAACATTTCTAAAAGAAGTTACTTTTATCCCAAAATTATTTTGCTATTTCTTATAATTTATGAGTTACAAAATGAGTTACAAAAGTAATAGAATTTTTAGAAGTTAATTTTATTTCTTCATATAGCAATTTGTACAACAAAAAAGTACAAAATATATACATAATATATGTTTCTACAAAGTTTCTACATATTTAAAATCTCTCTAAAGTGAAGAAAGAATCCAACAATTGCTAACATCTATCTATTTATTAATAAGACATAATTTACATAAACATTATACAATAGCAATATTACACTGTTCTAATACACAAAATAATAAATCATTGTTGATACGAGTAACAGTACATCTCTTACTTGAAAGCTTTTACCTGTAGCTCTCTCTCTCTCTCTCTCTCTCCTTCCTACGTACGAATCTCTGATGAGATTTGTTTTGAGAAAATCCATGACCCGGACGGGGTCCATTATTGTTCCCATTCGCAAAAATAGCATTTTCTGCAGTAAATTATCGTAGGCGCATTCCACAAATTTTCAGAGTGAATTTTTTCAGGATCAGACACTCGTACGAAAGAATTTTATTTTTCAATCTCTTTTTTTCTTTACGTTTCTTCACTAACATTCATTAAAGAATTATTATTGCTATGGAAAATTATTACTATAGAAAATATATTAATCTTCTTAATGTACAGAGAATGACGTCAAAATAATATAATTAGCGTACGATTTTGCTCGATTTTGTCTCTCGAAGATCAGTTAGCCAAACATTATCGTCATCGTAATTGTCATCGTGTTGATGGCAATCTAATGCGAGTTTTTCTTTATAGATTTACGAGAGTTGACTCTAAACAGGAAACGATTTACACGTAAAGCGTTCCAGCCTGAAAGTTAGCTGTAATCAGGCTCAACTGAGCGAGACTCTCGACGAAACCAAACGTAACTTCAACCAGCCTCTCTCATAATAGAAAGCATACTTATAAATCCACTGTACGATAGAATACTCCGCCGTGTACTCTCGTTACCCGTTTCTGCAGTCAAAAAGCACCGTGAAGGCTACTCTTGATTAGAATTCCGGTCGATCATCGAAACCTTGTAATTGTGAACAGATGTTGTATAATATCTTTTGATATCGATCAATCCTGAACACCGTCTTATATTTGCCTAAGAATAACATGATAAGTGTATAGACCTATGCGAGCTTCCCAAACAAACGAAGACGTTTGTTTGAATTCTTCGATTGCTTGTTAAACATACAATCTTTCTCGTGTTCTTAATATTCGTTCATCATTGAGAACTGTTTGATCTAATTTGATGATTTAATTGCTACAGCTAACGAGAAAAGGGAATGTACGATCAGCACTTATATACGGATAGCCAGTATATCGCGCAGTAATGCGTTTAATTTTAGCCAAATTTTCGTCGACCGGTCTTCCTGAACATTTCGATTAGCGCTTAATCATCCGACGAGCGAATGGAAACCATCTTGAACAACTTTGAACATCAAACCCTGTCCATGAGACGAGAGACACTTAATATTCTTTTCACAGTGACGATGACATCATTTGTCGTAAACGCAACTGATCGCCGTGATTTCTTCTCAAAAGCACACGTTCGTGTTTCTGTATATTCAATATATGATTCATTCTATTGTGGATTTTTTCCATTATTACCTTCTCTTACACTACTGTGCATAAATAATATACCCGGTGCAACTTCATGAAAAAATTAATATTTCTGCAATGTTTCGACAATTACGATTGATGAACGTTCTTCTACTGCTAATTCACTGTATTTTCAAGTTTCATATTTTTTTCTAATAAATGGCTTATGCCTCTTAAAATCTGTACGAATTTTTTCAATATGATTAGAAACTAGTATTTTCATCGTTCTGAAACGATATACTTAATGCGGAATTCAGCAGCCTGATTATTATAATATTTCATTTATTAATATCTATGTTAATTATATTATGTCAAGATTAAGTTGAAAAGGTTTATTTGTCCAGATGCTTATGTACTATAGTGTACGTTTTAAGAATACAAATATGATATATCTCATAAAAATTTCCCAAGTAATCACAAATTTATCCACTTTGTTTCACCAAACTCTGGAAATTAGTAGGACTTGTTTTGCTATATCGTTCGTAATCTCCATCTTGTGGATTTCTGATTGAACAAACTGAAGGATAGATACAATCCGCAAGGAAAAGTTGAATGATTCGGGCAATTAATTTCAGGTGTAGTGAGTGTTCTCAGCGCAGTTTTGTAATCTTCCGAGCCTCTCCCTGGACGTTCATTGACTCGTGGTTCAGGGCTAGGTCCCGGCTACGTTTGTGGCGCGTAATAATGTGCGTGCGGTTCACTTCGCCGCAAAACTGGGACGCTGCGTGCTGAAAGAAGAAACAATTGTGGGAAGAAAAGTCG